ATAAGAGTGTTGGTACTACTATACTTTCAAACATTCCCTTCTTAGCCTCCATAAATAACTTTTTTTGACTCCACATATACCTCAACGCACCAATCACCTTTTTTCCCTCATCAATTCTATGATTAACCTCATCCTTCATAAATTCATCCGCCGACACGTCAACTCCCAAGTATCTGAAAACATTCACTTCTTCCATACTCCTCCTCCCCAATTTGATATCCAATTTTTCTTTATCTAAATCATTTGATACCCTCATCACCTTACTCTTTTCTATGTTCACTTTCAACTTTCTACCTTTACACACATTCCCAAACTCATCCACTAACCATTGCAATTTTTCTTTAGAATCTCCTATAAGCACAGTATCATCAGCAAAAAGTAACTGTGTCAATCCCCATTTTGAATTTGATTCCCCATAACTTAATCCCACCCCTCTCCCAAACACCCTAGCATTTACTTCTTTTTCAACCCCATCTATAAATATATTAAACAACCATGGTGACATTACACATCCCTGTCTAAGACCTACTTTTACCGGGAAGTATTCTCCCTCTCTTCTACACACCCTAACCTGAGCCTCGCTATCCTCATAAAATCTCTTAACAGCATTTAGTAACTTACCACCTATTCTATATACTTGCAACATCTGCCACATTGCTCCTCTATCCACTCTATCATATGCCTTTTCTAAATCCATAAATGCAATAAAAACTTCCCTACCTTTATCTAAATACTGTTCACATATATGCTTCAATGTAAACACTTGATCTACACATCCCCTACCCACTCTGAAGCCTCCCTGCTTATCCGCAATCCTACATTCTGTCTTTCCTCTAATTCTTTCAATTATAACCCTACCATATTCTTTTCCTGGTATACTCAGTAAACTTATTCCTCTATAATTTTTACAATATCTTTTGTCCCCTTTCCATTTATATAAAGGGACTATACATGCTCTCCGCCAATCCCTAGGTACCTTCCCCTCTTTCATACATTTATTAACCCTTCAGAGGGCAAGGCAGACTAAAATGCAGATTTTGAAAGTGATTTCGTATGAGGAGATAGAGCCACTCGATGTAAGGTCACTGAGACCATCCAAACAGAGTTGTGAAAGTAACATCTCGGGCAATTGCAGATATTCGAACACCGAGTATATGCGGTCCTGCCCGTTTGGGGTATAACAATTTAGAATGTTGCAAGGTTGCAATTGTTGAAAAAAAACGAAATAAATATTTTTTAAATTTATTATAAAAGTAGACAATATAAAAAACATAAATGGAACTTGTTTCTGAACAATTTATAAGCAGTAAAAAAATAGAAGTAGGAACTACTTATCAACAATGACACATTGCAATGAGATACAACTTACAAATGAAATATTCTTGAGTTCCCTGAGAAAGAACAATCCTTTTACATCACTAATTTCTGCAATGAAACTTTATGAAACAATTTCTATCCTTCTTGATGGATAGATTTACTTTGCATGTGGCACAGGAAAATGAAGATGCGACATGATTATTCTTGTTGCTGCAATACTTGCATGTAAGCAAGTATCTTCTTCTTGTTCAATTTCTTCTTTTTGGATGGTGGCATAGCTTCCTTCTCATCTGTTGGCACCTCTGCATCTTGTGGCAAGTATTCATCATCAGTTTCCACCACTTCCAGGTCATCTGGATCTTGATCTGAGTCACTGTCATCCCAAACACAGACAAATCTCGACTTATCCTTGGAGGACTCACCGTTAGAACAATTTCTTATTGATCTGGAAGGACAATAAAAACGTTCTGTACACACCCAGACCATTACTGAATTCATATATACACTACCAAATTTTATGGAAATATTTATATACCGAAACTTGAAAACTGCACCTAAAAGGGCAGGAACGGCCGTCCTTGGTCCTATTTTGTTGCACTTTTTTCATTTGCATGGTGCACTCGTAATATGCTTCACAACGCCTTCATATATATATCAAAATATGGCTAAAACTATTCATTTTACACACTAGACACACAAATCAGTACTTACCGACATTGTATTGGGTGAAATGCTTCAGTATATAAGGAGCACTATACCGAGAAACACGAGTTTTGGCGCCGGCAAGGTAGAAGTGTTTACATTCTGCTGTCTCGACCAATGGGAAGCGAGCAGCCGCCATCACCGCTCAGCCTGGGCGACTCAGGGAAGGTCTGTGATTGGTCAGAAATAGAGAATGGGAACCTAGATACGCGGCGGGAGTTGTAGGACGTGCGCAAAAAAACCACGCTATGATGACCGCCTACACTCGGGTCTGCCCGGTAAAGGGTTAAACAAAAGTACCAACCACTCCAACACTATATCCTCCCCTGCTTTTAACATTTCTGTCATGATCCCATCAGTTCCAGCTGCTTTACCCCCTTTTATTCTACGTAATGCCTCGCGTACCTCCACCACAGTTACATTCTGCTCTTCTTCACTCCTAAAAGATGGTATACCTCCCTGGCCAGTGCATGTAATTACTGCCTCCCTTGCTTCCTCAACATTTAAAAGTTCCTCAAAATATTCTCGCCATCTACCTAATACCTCCATCTCCCCATCTACTAACTCCTCTACTCTGTTTTTAACTGACAAATCCATACGTTCCCTAGGCTTTCTTAACTTGTTTAACTCATTCCAAAATTTTTTCTTATTTTCATTAAAATTTCTTGACAGTGCCTCTCCCACTCTATCATCTGCTCTCCTTTTGCACTCTCTCACCACTCTCTTCACCTTTCTTTTACTCTCCATATTCTCTGCTCTTCTTATAACACTTTTGCTTTGTAAAAACCTCTCATAAGCTACCTTTTTCTCTTTTATCACACCCTTTAGTTCATCATTCCACCAATCACTCCTCTTTCCTCCTGCCCCCACCCTCCTATAACCACAAACTTCTGCCCCACATTCTAATACTGCATTTTTAAAACTCATCCAACCTTTTTCAACTCCCCCACTACTCATCTTTGCACTAGCCCACCTTTCTGCCAATAGTCGCTTATATCTCACCCGATGGAGGGGTGTTAATGTTGCAGTTTAAAAACCGTAGTGTAAAGCACCCTTCTGGCAAGACAGTGATGGAGTGAATGATAGTGAAAGTTTTTCTTTTTCGGGCCACCTTGCCTTGGTGGGAATCGGCCAGTGTGATGATAATAAAAAAAAATAAATCTCACCCGAACTTCCTCCTCCCTTAATTTATACACTTTCACCTCCCTCTTACTTGTTGTTGCCACCTTCCTCTTTTCCCATCTACCTCTTACTCTAACTGTAGCTACAACTAAATAATGATCCGATATATCAGTTGCTCCTCTATAAACATGTACATCCTGGAGCCTACCCATCAACCTTTTATCCACCAATACATAATCTAACAAACTGCTTTCATTACGTGCTACATCATACCTTGTATATTTATTTATCCTGTTTTTCATAAAATATGTATTACTTATTACCAAATTTCTTTCTACACATATCTCAGTTAAAGGCTCCCCATTTACATTTACCCCTGGCACCCCAGATTTACCTACTGCTCCCTCCATAAAATTTTTACCCACTTTAGCATTGAAATCCCCAACCACCATTACTCTCACACTTGATTCAAAACTCCCCACGCATTCACTCAACATTTCCGAAAATCTCTCTCTCTCCTCTACACTTCTCTCTTCTCCAGGTGCATACACGCTTACTATAACCCACTTTTCACATCCAATCTTTATTTTACTCCACATAGTCCTTGAATTAATACATTTGTAGTCCCTCTTTTCCTGCCATAGCTTATCCTTCAACATATTGCTACTCCTTCTTTAGCTCTAACTCTATTTGAAACCCCTGACCTAATCCCATTTATTCCTCTCCATTGAAACTCTCCCACCCTTTTCACCTTTGTTTCACTTAAAGCCAGGACATCCAGTTTCTTCTCATTCATAACATCCACAATCATCTCTTTCTTACATACTTGTTTTTTTTTTTTTTTTTTTCAACAATTCGGCCGTCTCCCACCGAGGCAGGGTGACATACATGTACAAGCATATATATACACATCCCTCTGGGTTTCCTTCTATTTTCTTTCTAGTTCTTATTCTTGTTTATTTCCTCTTATCTCCATGGGGAAGTGGAATAGATTTCTTCCTCCGTAAGCCATGCGTGTTGTAAGAGGCGACTAAAATGCCGGGCGCAAGGGGCTAGTAACCCCTTCTCCTGTATGTATTACTTAATATAAAAGGAGAAACTTTCATTTTTTCCTTTTGGGCCACCCTGCCTTGGTGGGATTCAGCCGGTGTGGTGAAAGAAAGAAATATATATATAGATATATATACCTATATATATTATTAGAGAGAGTATAGTGTAACAATCTCATAATAAAATTCAGGAAAATTGAAATGAATTGAAAAGTGCATTAGAAGTGTTTTGAAGTGTTGACAATTACATCATTTTAAACCAGTGAGGTGTCAAATACCACTTACAGTTTGAAGGCAAGCAATTGTGTGTTTTGATACTAGCTTCATATAATGTTAATGTGTAATTATGTTGGAGTGTGAGGTAACATTTGTGGAGGGATTCAGGGAAACAGATAGCTGTATTTGAGTCCTGAAGGTCGGGTGTGAATATTGTAGTTCAGGGGGTCAATTGAATTATGACATTTCATACTTATGGTGTAGATGAATTATTCAGAGAACATGCACACACATCTGATTTATCATACTTAGGATATAACAATTATTGAGTGAATAGGAGTAAATGTTTTCCTTGTATGGATCCTTCAACCTGAATGGGAGATGGCTGTTGTGCTAAAAATAGTTTGTAAATTTTCTTTTAATTTGTATATTCTTTAAATTGGGGGGGGGGGAGGTATCTTAATGCTCGTGAAGAGCTCTTGATCCAAGGAGATGGGGCACCCTTTCCTTCCAGGCACTATGTCACCCTTATGGGTTTAGTACTTCCCCATGAATCTGTCACGATAACAGTTTTGTGTAACTTTCTTGTTGCAGGAAGCTTTCTTTGGTAGAAATTTGATGGACACAAGTAATTTGGAGGAGGAGATGAAACAGATAAGTAGCTTGGATGAAGAAATAGACGAGGATGTTCTCGAGTCTCAGAAAACCAAGTCAGCTATCACACTTTCCAAGGTGAGACCTCTTTACTTAGCTCTGGCTCACTGTTCCATTCACTTCTGTTTTTAGATTTTAAACAAAATTTAAGAAACTAGAACTAGAAATAATTTTTTTTTTTTTACACACTGGCTGTCTCTCACTGAGGCAGGGTGACCCAGAAAAAAACAAACTTCCACTATCGCTCACATTATCACTCTACAGAGGCATACAGATACGACAGTTTAGATGTCGCTAAACATCAGATATCCCAAACCCCTCCTTTAAAGTGCAGGCATTATTCTTTCCACTTTCTAGACTCAAGTCTGGCTAACTGGTTTCTGTGAATCTCTTCACAAAATATTACCCTGCTCACATGCCAGTACAGCACACTATTGAATTGCTGGTAATCAGTACACTGTCCAGACCCTCAAAATTAATATTGCTCTCAGTTTCCAATTAAAAAACAAAATTCTGAAATGGTAGAAAATCTTTTTCTGAGGGCAATGATAAAAAAGGAAATTTGATAGGAAACTTACAGAATTACACAGTCGAAAATTCAATGTTCTTGGCACAGTTTAGACATTGGTGATTTCACCGACTTTGAGTCCTATTTTAAGCTTCGTTTCACCAGATAGCTGATTTGCTTGTTTGCCTTCCATTTTATCAACCGAGCTCAACTGTTTCAACTACCCTTAAAACGTGCAGTCGGTAATTTGGCCACTTTTGCACAAAATTAAAAAAAAACTAATTTAAAAAATAATCCAAAATAAACAGTGTAGACATTCCTGGCACTATAACATTTCCTTTGTTCATTAATCACATTCCCAGGCCTCTTCTATAATACACTTGCTATTACAACCCAGGAGTTCAAATGGCCTGTTATCCTGGGTGTAAAGGGAGCAAAATAAACACAGCAGAAAAGTTTTGATTTATATTATCCTTCACCAATTTAGAACAGCAATATGTACACTATATACAGTGATAGCTATTAGTGCACTCCACAGTAAGCAAGGCAGAAATAGAAGCCACAAGATAGCAGACCATGCTTCAACCAGCTCTAGAATGGGAATGACAAGGGCAGACAGGAGAGTGGTACCCACATAACCTCTGCGATTGCCAAAACCATCTTCTTATTGGCTGGAACCTGGTCACTAGTTGAACGACGGGGCCCCATCATCAACTCTCAGCAACCTGGTTCGCTGGTTGGGGGAGATAGCCTGTAAATGAGGGTGTGTACATGCGCCGAATAAAGGTTACGTACTCTTTGCATGCCACACCCCACCCTGAGAGGCTCAGATTAGGCTGCACCTCCCAGTGGTAACCGTGCCGCCATGGCACAAAATAATGGGACCGCCTTTCCTCTCCACCATCCAACTCTTAGATAGAGCTCAGCTTTCTTGTGACCAAAGCCAAACCCTAAACTCAGAGTGAGACAGCAGTCAGTCGGGCTAGCATGGTCCAGATACAGCGGACAGTAGCCCGCATCCCCCACAAAAAAAAACCAAACCGGGGGATAAAAAAAGGTGCTTAATAGGTTACCACAAGTAACTACTCCTAACCTAGTAATAATGGTATTGACTCTGGGTAAAGAGGTCTGCCAAACATATTTCTTTTCCCGCAATTTTTAAATTTATTTATAGGGCTGCAGCCTTAGCGTCCAGCGATGAGCCTTGTTGGGGGTTTCCCTTCGGGTTTGGAGATATACTAGAGGATTGGGGATCACTGTAGACGGTGACCACCTCGATGTCTGGGCCACTTAAACATCGAATGCTCCAAAGCAGTCCCAGCGGGAGGCTTCTTTTTCAATGGTAGAGTAAGCCCTCTGATGCGGCTGGAACTTGGCTGAAAAGAAGGCTACGCCAGCTCCTCTTTCCGTTTTTTGCAATAGTACTGCCCCAACCCTCAGACTCAAAAGCATCAACCTGTAATGAAAAAGGTTTGGAGAATTTCGGGGAGAAAAAAGAAGGGGTTTGCAGTACACAATAATCTTTTTGCTTTTCAAAAGCATTGTTACATCTGGGTCCAATTAAAGGGAACTTTGTGACTGGTAAGAGAGGTAAGAGGGGATACAATATCTGAGAAATTCTTACAGAATCTTCTGTAAATCCTATCATACCTAGGAAACGTGAGAGATTTCCTATCGTGGGGAAAACTGGATAATTTTTAAATAGCAAAACTTTAGCAAGTTTAGGAGCAACTTTACCACTACCTACTTCATGGCCTAGAAAAGTGACAGTGGCCTGGCCAAAGAAAGATTTAGATAAATTATCTGTTAAATGGGAACTCTGAAAGGTCTCAAAAAGAGCCTTAAGTCTAAGTAGGTGTTGATCCCAAGTATCAGATACCACAACAATATCATCTAGGTATGCTGCCATGCCTTCAAGTCCTTTAATAGCCTGATGGATAAGTTTCTGGAATGATGAGGGGGAATTTTTCATTCCGAAGGGGGTAACTGTGTATTGATAATGACCTGGAATTACGAAGGCAGAGATTTCCTTTGCCTTATCCATCAAAGGTACCTGATAATAACCTTTGAGGAGATCTAACTTTGACACAAAAGTAGCCTTACCCACAAAGTCAATTACGTCATCCAGATGAGGAAGAGGGTAAGCATCTGTAATTGTGACCTCATTCACCTTACGGTAGTCTGTACACATACGAAACCCTCCATGCACGGTGAAGCCCATGGACTAGATGACTCTTCCACTAAACCATGCTCTAACAGAAATTCTACTTCCTGCTGAAGTAGCTTCTGCTTTTCAGGATTAGGTCTGTAGGGGGAGAGTTTAATAGGTTTAGAGTTTCCCACTTGTACATCATGATAACCTAACGTACGTTTTTTCGGCACATCCGAAAAAATATTAGGATATGACTGTAGAAGGTCAGTTAAACTTGTTGCTTGCGTTTCAGATAGTCCCTCCATTAAAGGACTAGGATCCTTGAGGACAGAATTTGAAAGTTTAACATTAATTTCAAAGATAGAGTGCAAAGAATCAGAGTCGTCCTCAGAGGTAGAGGACAGAGTCATTACTTTGACTTTATCTGGTGTATGAAAAGATTTTAATTGATTAATGTGGTAAGTTTTAGTTTTTGAGGTCTTATTAAATGGGAGCTACCACATAATTTTACATCGATAATCTACTTACAATCTGCATAGGCCCCGAAAAATCTAGCTTTCAAGGTGTGGCCAGGTATGGGTTTTCCGCACCAACACCTTGTCTCCTGGATGGAAGGACGGAATTGTGCACTTCTGTCTTTACCTCTGTTTCATCTTACTTTGAGCTGTCTTTAGGTTAGCCTTGGCTAACTGACGTGCCACCTGCAACCTTGAAGACGGGTTGTAGAGTGTTGAACTAACGTCTTCTCCCATCCATCCTTCTTTGAGCACCCGAAGAGGACCTCGTACATTGTGCCCAAAGATCAGCTCAAACGGACTATCCCCTGTAACCCCCTTGCACCGTCTCTCGTACTGAGAACAGCAACAAAGGTAGTGATTCATCCCATTCTGTAGGAAAGTGCATGCAACAAGTTCTCATCATGGTTTTTAACATCTGATGGAATCTTTCCAAGGCGCCTTGGGACTGAGGATGATAGGCAGTGGATAAGTTGTGGACTATCCCTAGCCTAGTTAATGCTTCCCTAAATGCTTTGGCAGTGAAGTTAGTACCTTGATCACTTTGAATAGTTTTAGGAATGACAAAACAAGAAATAAATTTGGTTAATGCCTTGAGAATAGCTTTAGTATTAATACTATGCATGGGAATTGCTTCAGGATATCTGGTTACTCTATCCATAATCATAAATAAATACTGATTTCCAGACTTTGACCTAGGTAGTGGACCTACACAATCTATAATTAAATCTGCAAAAGGTTTCCATCAGCAGGTAAGGTTGGAGAGGTGCAGGTTTAATGGAATGTCCAGGTTTTCCTACTTGCTGACATTCTCGGCAACACCTAATATGATGCTTCACATCCTACTTTAATTTTGGCCAATAAAATTCTTTTGTGATTCTATACAAGGTTTTTGTAATTCCTAAGTGACCTCCTAATGAAGTATTATGAACTATATTTAATATTTGAGGTCAATACTTTGTTGGAACCACTAACCTGTCAGACAATTGCCAGCCCTCTATCTCCATACCAGTCTCAGTGCAGATCAAATAATCGTTTTTAAGTTTATACTTGACCGGATGATCCAAAGAGGATTTACCCACGGCTGCCTGAAAGGCGAATTTTAAAGAAGGGTCCTTTAATTGTTCCTCCCGGAAGGACAGTCCCTCGGGCATGGAAACAGATATATTTGGCAATCCTGCAACCTGGGAATAGAAAGGCTTGATTGGGGTCTGTTCACTTGATCTACGAGGCTCTGACCATTTTCCTCGTAAAACAAAGTGGCTATTCTGAGATCGGAGTCGTCCAAGGATAGGTCAACATTCTCGCCAGACAACCCTTGAGATGTTGCCCGAGTTATGGCCAACACCGGAGAAGAATTAATCATTATAGGTTCAGGACACGCACTATCAATAGTAATGCTATTACCCAGTAATAACATGGCATCTTTCATGGGGAATCCCTTGGAGACACCCCACAGTCAAGTACCCAGTGTGATATTTGCTGTACATAAATTTTATGCAAAGGGATAGAATATATAGCTCCTCCAAATGCTTCCAATAAAAGAGAATAATTCAAGGAAGTGTTCTTTGAAAGGGTTAATATTCCTTGTCTTATAAGTGAGCAATATGCTCCAGTATCTCTAAAGGTTTTGACTTCATTTGTTTCTGAGTTTTCCTGAAGGGAAATAAGACTCTTGCAATAATAAGGGGCCATACCTTTTTCTACTTCTCTCAGGGATATGTTACAAGGGATATTAGAGATTTTCCCAACGGGTTGGGGTTTATGGGGGCAGTTGGGACGGATATGACCTACTTTGTTACAGAGGAAGCAGACGACAGGCTTGCCCTTTACTCCCTGCGGACGTTGCAACTGGTGTCGCTCTGGCTGGTGTCTCTCTGGATACTGTTGTCGAGATGCACCATGAGTAGTTTGTCTCTCAGCAGGTGGACCATAAGTTGAGAAGCGCGGCTCACCAGGTGACTTAGTTGGCTGATGTAGACCCTTTCTCCCACCGGCTGGCACTTCATTCTCCAAGGTTGATGATCTCTGCTCATGCCAGGCTGTTGAAAAGAGAGACGGGACTGCTTGGACAAGGAGCGGTTAGTTTAGAAGGTATCAGCCAACCTGGCTGCCTCCAATGCAGTGGTTAAGTCACTATCCTGCAGAAAGACTCGAACCTCTGGTCCCACAGACTCCAGCAGGTTATCAATCAGAATAAACTGTACCAGCTCCTCAAAGGAGGTGACACCACTTGCTTTTATACCACTGGTAAAAGCTTTGGTTTGCTGTCTCCCCAAAATCCACCCGGGATTGACCAAGCTGCCGCCTGCTTAGTTTGAAAGCTTACGGTACTTAGCTGGGATACATGTATATGCTCCCAACACTGTGGTCTTCACTACTTGATAATCAGAAAGTTTTAGCATCATTTAAAAACTGACATAAATTTCCCGTGCCTTACCAAAACAATGCTGTATGAACCAACGATGCCCAATGCTGTTCCGGCCACCTCAAGGCTCGAGCCTGATTTTTTGAAGCTTTCGAAAAATTGTTCTGGTTCGGCCTCATTGAAGCGGGGAACAAACTGTACTGCTTTCTGTAAACTAAAATCATTTACAGAATGCGAAAACTGCCTCCTTTCTCTTTCCCTTTCAAATTCTTCCCTTGTGAATGCTCTCTGTTCCCTAGTTTGCTCAAGATTGATTTTTGCCAGCTCAGTGCCAACACCGTTGATTCACTTCTAGACAACCCTGCTGCACTAGACTGACCATTTTGCTCCGTTGGTGTATCATCTTCCTCCTGCGAGAACATAGTAGATTTTGCCCTAGCTCCCGTAGAGGGAGGAGTCTGATGTGCCATCTCTTCTTCTCGAAGTTTGTCAGCAATCAGTGAACAAAGTTGCGCAGCTGTGAGCATGCGTTTATATTTAATGCCAATGGAATGAGCAATTTGCCAACAACGCTGTAGGGACAATTTAGGTAGGTTATGCAAAGTATATGACGACACCAGACGTCTGACTCGTCTAGGTGGCATAAGTTATTCACTATGCACAGTACGATTGCAGAATAGCCCAACGTAATATTATTTGCAGAACACGCTTAGCTATACACAGTAAGATTGCAGAATACGCATACAAGTTGAATGCGCAATAGCAAAGTTAACTGCAACTGACACGCAAAATTTGTAAAGCAATGCCAGACAGCAAGCTACACACTGTTCTACAAGATTGACCGTAGCGAAGTGAGCACACCGAACAAGCTAGTAGCGAGCTGTTGAACGATCACACAATAGCAAGGCTGACCATAACAAAGTAACTGACACGCAAAATTTGTAAAGCGTTGGCAAAGCTAATGCAATGCCAGACAGCAAGCTGCACAGTGTTCCTGCTACCAGCTTCACCCTAGGCTCAACCCTTTCTCTAAGTCCAGCTCCAGCTCTTGGACAGGCTACCCATATTACAACCCAGGAGTCCAAATGGCCTGTTATCCTGGGTGTAAAGGGAGCAAAATAAACACAGCAGAAAAGTTTTGATTTATATTATCCTTCACCAATTTAGAACAGCAATATGTACACTATATACAGTGATAGCTATTAGTGCACTCCACGGTGAGCAAGGCAGAAATAGAAGCCACAAGATAGCAGACCATGCTTCAACCAGCTCTAGAATGGGAATGACAAGGGTAGACAGGAGAGTGGTACCCACATAACCTCTGCGATTGCCAAAACCATCTTCTTATTGGCTGGAACCTGGTCACTAGTTGAACGACAGGGCCCCATCATCAACTCTCAGCAACCTGGTTCGCTGGTTGGGGGAGATAGCCTGTAAATGAGGGTGTGTACATGCGCTGAATAAAGGTTACGTACTCTTTGCATGCCACACTTGCCTTCCATTTTAAATTCATAATCACATAAATATAGAAGAATAACTTGTGTAGAAGATATACTTATTTCCTGGATAATAAAATATAACCAGGATTGATTGCTCATGATTTATGGTGTCCCAATAACAGAATCAGACCTAGTAAAAACCCATAAAACAGACCAGGGGTTTTAGGGGGCCTTTCCCATTCTCAGGAAAATCGAAAAAATTTAAATATTTCCTCTATGATCCCTGTTTCAAGCTACTTCCTGCCGTGAAACCACCCAGAATCATCTCTGTTTCAGTTGTATGACTCACAAAATCATAATGACACGATTACAAACAAACAATACCACGGATGGGGATTGAACTCGTGGTGAGTGAGTTATAAAACTCCAGGCCAGTGTGTAAGCCACTGGGCCAGCTGGCTACAGTAAGATTCATCCAACTAGGTATATTTATACGCCATAATGAGGTTAGCACAGGCCTCCACTGTACCACAAATGCCAGCTGGCCCAGTGGCTTACATGCTAGCCTGGAATTTTACAACTCGCTCACCATGAGTTCAATCTCTGCCCATGGTGTGGTTTGTTTGCAATCGTATCATTAGTTTCACGAGTCATGATGATGGCTTTGAGGGGACTAGAGCTAGAGTTCGTCGTGGTCCTGCTGATGGGAGATTCACCTGTAAAAACTTGCATATGTGGTCACAGTGGGGCCTGTCTTAATCTCTCCATGGTGTATAAATATACCTAGTTGGATGAATCTTATTGTAAATGACACTTTGGTAACACTTGGGTATCTTTATTTGGAAAATGTTTCACCACACTTTGGCCTCTTCAGTCCAGTGCAAAAAAAATATAAGAGGAGGAGTTTGATGTAATCAGTCCCTCAACCTTGAGTTGATGTGTTCAAACCATCAATCTTGACAAAAGTGCAGCATATTTGCACTTAAAGGAAGAGGCTTATGACTCCTCTTTTTATGCAAGAACTTTAAAAACCCTTGTCACTTTGGAAAGTTTCCAAGCAGAATCGAGAGAGAAGCTGAGCTTAGAGTATGTAAAACTGAGAGAAAAATCATGACACCTAGCTGCAAGCTCAGGTCATGATAGTGAATGAGGAGGCATATAAATAAATTTTTGGGTATAATTTGAAAATTCTGTTTTAGCAAAGCACTGTAAACTGAGATCCCACATTATTTCATTAAACTTACACAGTATACTGAATCTTGTAATTTTTATTACAAATACATAGATAATTATACATACATTTATATACTTATAAAATAAGTATTTTTTCCAGGATGAACTTCAGCTTGTTCAGGCGGCTCAGAATAAACAGCATGGACATGATAGGCGTCTTGACAGCTGTGTTCAGCAAACCAAGCTCCTGTCTCCCCGACACATAAAATTTGAGGATTTTGCTGATGCCAGGAAACGAGACAAGAAATATTCAGATGAAAAGAAATATAAAGATCATAAGGTAATTATGGTACATGATCATTTTTCACTTATGAAATTGATAGTGGATTATATAAGGTCCAGGTGTATTTCAATCAACAGTAGAAACTTTTAACACTTCAGTACAGGAGTTTGGAGTAATCTCTCTCATTTGAAACAATGGGGTCTGTACTCACCTATATGTAATTATCAATATGTGGTTACAGGGGGGTCAAGTATTAGCTCCTGGTCCTGCCTTGCAACTTTCTGCTTGCCAGATTTGCTCTTGTAGCCTCGTGGGCCCTATCGTACCTTTTCCTAAAAATGTGTGTTGAATCTGCCTCCACCTTTTCTTCATCGAGGTCTTTCCACTGCCTGACCACTCTGAGACAGGAAATAACTCCTGACATACCTGTGATACATCTGTGTCTTTAATTTTCACCTGTGCCTCCAAGTAGTATGTGTTTTGTAACTCTCAAACAGCCTGCTTCTGTCTACCCTATCAATTCCTCTAAGTATTTTGGATGTTATGTCTTCACCTCTCAGTTTTGATGCTTTCCAGATTCACTCCTTTCTAGCCTGCATTGGCTGCAGAGGTTATTGGGCTGATGTCAGCCTCTGGCAAAATGCTATGTTCACCTCTAGTTTTCTCTTTGAGTGAGGTCTGCAACCTTGGTTCCCCGAGACTGCAAACTGTGTCCAGTCTTCTGTCCTCTTTCCTGATCTTTATAACCTTGCATTTGTTGGGGTTGAATTGAAGGAACCACTTATCTGAATAATCTTGGAGTGTGTCCAGCCATGTCCAACTTTTTCCTGTCCTTATCAGTGAATGATATAGGAATGATATTACCATATGCAGTTGCAGCAGCTGCTGTAGCTGTAGCTGCAGTAGTAGTAGCAGCAGCAATAGTTGTAGTTTTACAACAACATTTAAAGTGGAAAATAAATATAAAGTTGAATAGCGTTATTGGATAAGAGAGAAGTGAAAGAACTAAGGAAGGGGGCACAGTTACTTATCCCCTTAACTGTCCAAACGTAGATCTACGTTAGCACTGGTAGCGCTCAAAACGTAGATTGTTTTAGTTTTCCTGCCTCCAAATTTGGCACTATTAGCCCAAGATGCCTGGTCAGTACAGAATGGGTCTTAATATTCGGTGTGTGCAGTATTAAAAAAAAATCTTGGACCACTTTGCACCTTGTGGGGGCACCAGTTCAATTGAGTGCCAACTAGAGCAAATTGCGTGGCAAACACCAGGGATTCACTGATGTCATGTCGTATTAACACTCCCCTTTTCAGAGGAAAGTGACGTTGACCTAGAGTTTAATACTTTTTGTAGCTCCACACCTAATTTTCACACTACAAATTCTCTACATAATATTTACACCACACATCACCCTTAAACACGACATCTCCACTGCTTCCGGCTGCCTCCTTGCTGCAGCATTCACAACCCATGCTTCACACCCATATAAGAGTATTGGTACCACTATACTCCCATACTCATCATATGCGGGATATATTCCTGAAAATTGGCATCCTATGGAAATTTTTGTAGCATGATGTGGGGAACATACAGCAAAAATAGTTATGTTCCAGACTTCTAAATTTGCCCATCAATTTTTTTTTTTTTTACTATTCTACTAGGTACTTATTACAACAGTATTACTTACCTCACATTTTGTTGGTAGCTGATGTGCCTACTGGGCTAAGATTTTTTGTTTTTACTTACTGTTCTTCTCTCACTGAGGTAGGGTGACCTGAAAATGAAGAAACATTTTCACCATCGTTCATTCAGTCACTGTCTTGTCAGAAGCATGCTAACATAACATAACAGCTCAGATGACCCTCTGAGCTGCAACATCCCCACTTCTCCTTCAGAGTGCAGCACTGTACTTTCCACCTCCAGGACTCAGGCCAGTTAACCAGTTTCCCATGAAACATTTCATAAATGGTACTTTGCTTGCACTTCAACAGCACATCAGATGATAAAAACCACATGCTTTTATTCAGTCCTATCTAACATGCTCATTCAAGCCTGTTGGATGTCCAAGTCCTTAGCATGCAAACCTCTACCTTCATGGGATGACACTTTTCTCTCCGTCCTTCACCCCTGATTTGTGTACCCTCATAGTCATCTTATTTGTTTCCAAATGTCCAAATCACCACAATATGTGATGTTCTAATGAGGTATCAGCTGATACACTTGAAACATGCCACCATTGCAAAATTAAAAACTGCAAAACTTAAATTCTTTGTTTTATTTACATGCAAAATACCCAAACCACAGGCCTCTCATCAGGGTCAGGTTTGTTCAGATTGGACAGTTTCGTAATAGAAAGTCATAACTAATCCACTTGAATGTAAAACAAAAGCCTGTTAAGTCTTTTGTTCTATGGCAGGATTATGGTGTTTGCTTTCAGACATGAAAAAATGCAGGGAAATCATATGAGCTTCTCCATACATTCACCTATCACTTTATTTTCCTGTGTTTTATTTTTATTATCACACTGGCCGATTCCCACCAAGGCAGGGTGGCCCGAAAAAGAAAAACTTTCACCATCATTCACTCCATCACTGTCTTGCCAGAAGGGTGCTTTACACTACAGTTTTTAAACTGCAACATTAACACCCCTCCTTCAGAGTGCAGGCACTGTACTTCCCATCTCCAGGACTCAAGTCCGGCCTGCCGGTTTCCCTGAACCCCTTCATAAATGTTACTTTGCTCACACTCCAACAGCACGTCAAGTATTAAAAACCATTTGTCTCCATTCACTCCTATCAAACACGCTCACGCATGCCTGCTGGAAGTCCAAGCCCCTCGCACACAAAACCTCCTTTACCCCCTCCCTCCAACCTTTCCTAGGCCGACCCCTACCCCGCCTTCCTTCCACTACAGACTGATACACTCTTGAAGTCATTCTGTTTCGCTCCATTCTCTCTACATGTCCGAACCACCTCAACAACCCTTCCTCAGCCCTCTGGACAACAGTTTTGGTAATCCCGCACCTCCTCCTAACTTCCAAACTACGAATTCTCTGCATTATATTCACACCACACATTGCCCTCAGACATGACATCTCCACTGCCTCCAGCCTTCTCCTCGCTGCAACATTCATCACCCATGCTTCCTGTGTATGTTTTAATAATTCTTATTCCTCTAATATTGCCCTTTTAATTTAAACCTGGTCCAAGGCTGAGCCATTTTAACCATTATCCTTGGTATTTAACTCCAGACAATTAATATCTGCTGTACTATAATCCAGCCAGTTAGAAAATGGTCTGTAACTGTGGTTTGTTCATTATTTTATTATGTCAGTAGTATTATATTAGTTATATTTTTGCTGAAATCTGACCTGGTTATTCTGTTTGTCGCTTTGAAATCCTTCAATTCTATGACCCCTCCCCCCCACCCTGTCCATAAAGAAAACTTTGTTGGTGATTGTTGTGCATACTGCATATTTTGTTTTTGTGTAGTTTTAATATGATATGATAGTGGGAATGAGTGGGATTATGATTGGGATAATAAAAGCAGGGGGGAGATTTTGGACAAGTTGGCATATTTATTCAATGTATGTTTGAAAGAGAGAAAGCTATCTGAGTATTGGCACAAGGCATCTCTAGTTTTTGTTTTTTTTTGTTTTTTATAACAAGTTGGTTGTTTCCCACCGAGGCAGGGTGACCCAAAAAGAAAGAAAATCCCCAAAAAGAAAATACTTTCATCATCATTCAACACTTTCACCTCACTCATACATAATCACTGTTTTTGTAGAGGTGCCCAGAACACAATAGTTTAGAAGCATATACGTTTAAAGATACACAACATATCCCTCCAAACTGCCAATATCCCAAACCCCTCCTTTGAAGTGCAGGCATTGTACTTCCCATTTCCAGGACTCAAGTCCTGTTATATAAAAATAACCGGTATCAATGAATCCCTTCACTAAATATTACCCTGCTCACACTCCGTCAGGTCCCAAATACCATTTGTTTCCATTCACTCCTATCTAAAATGCTCACGCATGCTTGCTGGAAGTCCAAGCCCCCTCACCCACAAAACCTCTTTTACCCCCTCCCTCCAACCTATTCGAGGACGACCCCTACCCCGCCTTCCTTACCCTGCAGATTTATATGCTTTCCATGTCATTCTACTTTGATCCATTCTCTCTAAATGACCAAACCACCTCAACAACCCCTCTTCAGTCCTCTGATTAATACTTTTATTAACTCCACGCCTCCTAATTTTCACACTCCGAATTCTCTGCATAATATTTACACCGCACATTGCCCTTAGACAGGACATCTCCACCGCCTCCAACCGCCTCTTCGCTGCAGCATTTACAACCCATGCTTCACACCTATATAAGAGTGTTGGTACCACTATACTTTCATACATATCCTTCTTTGCCTCCATAAATAATGTTTTTTGTCTCCACATGTACCTCAGTGCACCACTCACCTTTTTACCTTCATCAGTTCTCTGGTTAACCTCATCCTTCATACATCCATCCACTGACATGTCAACTCTCAAATATCTGAAAACATTCACTTCTTTTCTTCTTCTTCTTCTTTTTAGTAATCTTTACAGGAAAAGGGGTTACTAGCTCATTGTTCCCGGCATTTTAGTTGACTTTTACAACACACATGGCTTACAGAGGAAAGATCTTTTTCCACTTCCCCATGGATATAAAAGGAAAAGTAATAAGACCAAGAACTATTAAGATAAAATCAAAGAAAAATTCAGATGAGTGTGTATAAATAAACCTGTACATGTATGTGTAGTGTGACCTAAGTGTAAGTTTAAGTAGCAAGACATACCTGTAATCTTGCATATTTATGAGACAGACAAAAAAAACCAGCAATCCTACCATCATGTAAAACAATTACAGGCTTTTGTTTTACATTCACTTGGCAGGACGGTAGTACCTCCCTGGGTGGTTGCTGTCTACCAATATTAGCAATATTACCAATATTAGCAGTTTGGAGGGATATGTTGTGTATCTTTATATGTATATGCTTCTAAACTGTTGTGTTCTGAGCACCTCTGCAAAAACAGTGATTATGTGTGAGTGAGGTGAAAGTGTTGAATGATGATGAAAGTATTTTCTTTTTGGGGATTTTCTTTCTTTTTGGGTCACCCTGCCTCGGTGGGAGACGGCTGACTTGTTGAAAAAAAAAAAAAAAAATTAACTTCTTCCATACTACTACTCTCCAATTTGATATCCAATTTTTCTTTATCTAAATAATTTGATACCCTCATCACCTTACTCTTTTTTATGTTCACTTTCAACTTTCTACCCTTACACACACACTAGTTATTTTGTATAAAAGAAATGGAAAAAGAATGCAAGAAGAGTAAGTTATGAGATGGTAGGATTGCAAAGGAACAGGAGCACAGTGGATGTTGGAAGGTATGGGATATGTGGATTATGTGTGCATTACAGCAGTATTTAAGTGAGTAGTATTAAAATAAGGGAAGAAACTGTTGATTGCATTTATGGATTTAGCAATGGGCACATAACAGTTTGGGTAGGAAATAGGGGTTGCAGACATATGGAATAGGTCATGCAGTATATATGTTGAGTTTAGTTTCATTGAGAATTGATACTTGAAAACAGAAGTAGCTAAGGTAGTCTTGCAAGTCAGAGAATCTGCATGATCTTAAATACTTAATAAATGAGAAGGATGCAAGATTTGATATGTAAAAGTGCATGACGGACCATGCCAGGAGTAAAAGCGTTATTTATTATGAACATCTGTGACATCAAAGGAACGGAGTTAGAACTTTAAATGTGAGAGGAGTATGTGAAATAAAGGAAAGAATTGTAAGAAAATTGAAAGATTATGCTTTGGCATGTAATGATTAATTTTTGTAGTCTTAAAAGTAGTGTGTTTATAGAATTGATATAAAAGGTTGAAGATGAAAAATGTAGGCTGCCATTGTAGAGATCTTTTCAAACAATATGGAGAATTAATTAATGTATAATTTTTCAGCATTTTAATAAGCATTTATTTCCATCATTATTTTTAATAAATTTTCTTGTTCAGGATGAGGATATGGCACAGGAGGATGAAAACAATGAGGCCATTGATGCCATCTTTGGCCAGGGTGGTGATATCACTGATATTCTTATGCATGATATCATAAATGGTGCCATGAAGGATGATGATGCTAACCTCACTGGTGACGATGACATATCTCAAGATGCCATCGATGTTCCTGGTGGCAGTGGCAATGGAACTAAGTTGACAGATATTCTTGGACCTGGCTTTAACCTTGATGTGGCAGACATTATGAAGAATCTTCCTGAAGATAGCACAGAAGATAGTCAAGATTCTACATTATCAACATCCATTCCTCCAACATCTACACTGGGTGGTGTAGAGGGTGAAGGTTCAGCTTGTTTAGATAGTGAAGCAAGTGTCAACAGTACTCCTACTGTATCACCTGCAACACAACCTACCAGTTCCCTTCCTTCTACTAAAGAAGCTCTTATGACTCCTATAACACCTTCGGTCACCCTTCCAGCAGCATCAACACTGCGTCCTAATCAACCCCCTGTTGCTCCATTGGGCTCTATGCCAACAGGATCATCAATGTCATGCATTCCACAAGGTCCAACATTGTCATCAGTTTCAATTTGTAATACAATCCAAGGCCTAAGTCCTATTCCATCCATTAGCTGTCCTACCACTATGCAAAATCCTGTTGGACTTGCCAGCCCCATTACGCATCAGAGTCCTTCAGCTCTTCCAAGTCCATTACCAAGTCCTATCACTGGAGGCTCAATTTTATCCCAGTCCCATCCCAGTCCTCTCTCTCGTCCAGATTCACAAGCCTCATCTCATGGATACCCAAATACTCCATCATCTTTCACCACAAACAAGCCTCCAACTCCTACAGTTCCTGAGCCACAGAAAGTTTGGTCAAGTAATGATTCACAGTCACAGAGCCTTAGTCTAGAAGAGGATGAATCTCTTGGTGCAAAGGCTACCAAGGCAGCTGTGTTATATGTCAACGTCCACAAACCCACCCTCAAAACTGATTATCCAGGTAAGTTAGAAAAGTAAACATTTCCTGCTACTTAGTTATATACGTGTTGTTATTTCACATTTTCTTGAAGAATAGTTGATTTTTCAAAGAATGTATACTGTGGAACCTCAAATATCGAACTTAATCCGTTCCAGGAGTTAGTTCTGAATTCGAAAAGTCTGAAAAGCGAAGCAATATTTCCCATAAGAAATAATGGAAATACAATTAATCCATTCCAAAAACCCAAAAATATTCACCAAAAAAATACATTTTATAGAGATTAATTATAGTTTTACACACACAACAAATATAGTGTTCAATTATGTATTAATAAATTTAAATAAACTTATAAATAACATTTTACTTACCTTTATTGAAGATTAGTGATGGCATCTGGAAGATAGGGAGGAGGAGAGAGGGAGTTGGGGTTAGTGTTTAGAAGGAGAATCCTCCTCCATGAGGACTTCAGGTATCAAAGCTCTCTCTGAGGTTACTTCCCTTCTGTCTTTTAATGCCACTAAGACCAGCTTGAGAGTCACTGGACCCCTGTCTCACAAAATAAATGTCCACAGTCCTCTATTTCTGGTGCTTCTTTAAGATTTCCCTAAAATGGGACATGGTTCTGTCACTGAACTTGTTGCAAAGATGGCTTGTTTCAGCTTGCTCAGGGTGGTACTGGACATCATTCCACTTCTGTATTATTTCCTTCTTCATGTCTATGGTGTTTCTCACTTTCTTTACTACAGGGGTACCGCTAGCAAGTTTCATTGCTCCCATTCTAGCTTATTTCACAGTCCCACAAACACGATGAAATAATCGTAAAATGTTTGAATGAGAGCGCAGGTTAGTGTTCACTCAAGCATCAACAAAACCAGACTGGCTCACGACGCCTGCATGGGGACGCGGGCTGACAGACAGGTCCAGTACCCGGTGGTTCGAAAATAGGGTCGAGTTCGACAATAGGGACAAAGTTGGTTCGAAAAAAGGGTTCTATTTTCAAAGACTTCGATAAGCAATACGTTCGATATTTGAGGTTCCATTGTACTTCCATTGTTAAGTTTGAGTATATTTTGGACTGTGTGTGTGTTGTATGGAAAGCTAATCAAAATACTGTAAATGTAGAAAATCTAATAAACCATACCACAAATGGGGATTGAACTCGTGGCGAGTGATGCGGAAAACTCCAGGCCAGTGGCTTACATGCTGGGCTGGAGTTTTGCGACTCACCATGAATTCAATCCTTGTCAGTGGTATGGTTTGTTTCCAATCGTGTCATTACGATGTCATGAGTCAGAAAATCTAGTATTTGTAGGAGAGAAAGGGGGGAGAGATTGGAGTGAGAAGGAGAGATGCAAGAGAGAAAGGGAGATGGAGAGAGAGTGAGGGGGATGGGGAGAGAAAGAGAGGGGGGTGGGGATAGAGAGGAGGGATGGAGAGAGAGAGAGAGAGTGGGGGATAGGGAGAGAGAGAGAGAGGGGGATGGAGAGAGAGAGAGAGAGAGGGGATGGAGAGAGAGAGAGAGAGGGGGGATGGGGAGAGAGAAGGGGTTGGGAGAGAGAGGGGGGATGGGGATAGTGAGAGGGGGGATGGGGATAGTGAGAGGGGGGATGTGGATAGTGAGAGGGGGGATGTGGATAGAGAGAGGGGGGGATGGGTATAAAGAGAGAGGCACCTTAAATGCCTTACACACCCACCACCTCAAGCTGACCACTTCATGAGGAGCCAGTCTATCAGCATACTGTTGGGCAACATTAGGAGTTTCAGTACTAATGTTGAAGAGCTCTCACACAGTTTTGTGAACACTCAACATCCTGACATGATAGCTGTTGTTGAAACATTTTTGGACGACAGGACTCCAGAAAATTTTGCAAGAATTGCTGGCTATACCTCATGGATGAGAAGAGACAGGCAAGGGCAAGGAGGAGGTGTTGCTGTGTGCTTCTATAAAAGTGTACATGCCCAGCACATTGATGTTGCCACCCCTACTCATCTTGAAATGATGTTCTTCAAGCTCTGCATAAACTCTTGTACCTCTGTACTAGCATGTGCAAAGTACAGACCTCAGTGGCAACATGCAGACCCTATCAACTTCCTAATGGAAAATATCGACTCCCTTCTGCTACAACACAACTGTCAACATATCATAATTGTTGGTGACCTCAATCAACACCTTATACAGAGGGACTTTGATGACCTTCTTGCAGTATTTGACATGAGAAACTTTGTTGATTTTCCAACTCACATCTCTGGCTCCTCCCTTGACCCAGTAGTGAGTGATCTGGCAGAAGGTATAGTCACTTGTCAACCCCTCGGCTACATTGGATCATCTGACCACAAGGCTGTTTTTATGACACTTAAGATCCCAACAGAACGAGGTGAGGAGTCCACACACACAACCTGGCTATGGGAAAGAGGTAATTGGCAAGCCCTTTGCTCTGAGCTTGCCACCACCGATTGGAATGCTCTTCTTCAGGGGGATGTTGAAAACCAAGTGAAAGCCTTCACTGGACACATCCTTAATCTACAACAAGAACACATTCCTCACCAGCAATATGTGACGAAGCCTACAGATCAGCCTTGGTTTGGCTTTCGTTGTAGAGAGGCTGCTACTGCTAAGTACAAAGCATGGTGAAGGTATAAGAGATATCCTACCACCTATAACAGGAACTTGCACAGGCAAGCCTATAGGCATATGGGTGACATTCAAAAGTGGGCCATTGCTAAATGGGAGGTGGACACAAAAAAAAGCTAGCATCAGGTAGGGTAGGCTCCGAAACCTGGTGGTCCCTGGTCAAGGACAGACAAGGGTATCTGCCTGATGAACTCGTTCCACCTCTAAATCGACAGGATGGGTCAAGAGAAGGCTGACCTCTTTGCTGAACACTTTGCTACCAGAATGCAAGTTTCTGATCCAGCAAGGGACCCTCCTTGGCTAGCTGCAAGAACTGTGTCAAAACTGTCAGTGGTGACAATAAGGCAGGAGGAGGTGCATTTCCTTCTTAAATTGCTTGACCAAGAAAAGGCTGTGGGCCCAGACAAGTTGAGCCCAAGATTGCTGAGATGTGCAGACCAGCTAGCAGCACCTCTAACTCACATCTTTCAGCACTGCCTAGTACAGTGTAAATGGCCCTCTCTATGGAAAGAGGCAAATGTAGTCCCTGTTCACAAAAAGAAGAGCAGAGCAGAAATCAGCAACTACAGACCAGTGTCACTCTTGTCAATCACTGGTAAGATCCTTGAGACAATAATCTCAAGACAAATGACAAGAGTTTTTTGACTACCACTCACTACTTTGTGATCGTCAATATGGCTTCAGGAAAGGTTACTCTGCTGCTGATCTGTTGTTAAACCTCTCCACGAAGTGGCACCAGTCACTGGATGAATCCAAAGTCAGCTCTGTGGTAGCACTGGACATTGCTGGTGCTTTCATCCGAGTGTGGCAGCAGGGCCTCTTAACAAAACTTCAAGCACTGGGAATTGCAGGCTCTATGCTATGTCTCCTCAGTGATTACCTTCATGGTAGATCTCTAAGGGTAGTTCTCAATGGAACAGAATCAGCAAGACATCCTATTGGGGCAAGTGTTCCACAAGGAAGCATGCTGGGACCATTGTTATGGAATGTCTACTTCAATGACCTTCTTCATCTCATCCCAGAATCCCATGCATATGCAGACAAATGTACACTGACATTCACTTATCCAAGAGAAGAAATGCCAGCTGCTCTAAGCTACATCAATCACCAGCTAAGAGCTATATCAGCTTGGGGAAATAGATGGCAAGTAACATTTGCACCTGAGAAAATCCAAATGATGATGGTCTCTAGGCACCATGATGGTAATGCTGGTGCAGTAGTAAGGATGAATGGGAGGGTGTTGGCACCTGGAGAAGAAGTTGATATCCTTGGGGTGAAATTTGACTCCAAACTAACCATGAAGAACCATGTTGTAAATCTTGCAAACAAGGCAGCCAGGAAGCTTACAGCACTTCGCCGTATCTCGCATCTGCTTGACAGTAGGGGTTGCAAGATTCTGTACGAGGCACAAGTACGCTCACACCTTGAGTATGCTCCACTTTCTTGGTTTGCCTGTCTCCCCTCTCATCTGCGACTGCTTGACAGAGAAGAGAACAAAGCAAGACGTCTCATCTCTCGCCTGGACCCATCCTGGATAGATCTGTCATTTCAGCAGAGCCTTCAACACAGGAGGGATGTGGGTGGCCTTACTGTTATGTACAAGGCCAATATTGTCAAAGTACCACACTTGGATCCACTTCGAGGACAGCATGAAACAAGCTTTTATGCCACAAGACTGGCAGAATGCAGCAACTTCACTCTGGCTGTACCCTTCTCCAGACCATTACTCCATCTGAGATCATATATACCCAGGATGACTCGAGTATGGAACACATTCGTACAGCATAATGATGTCAACGAGATAAAGTCAGTTGATCAAATGAAAATGCTGGCCCACAGATGGCTCCAACTTCATCCTGTTCCCTACTTGTATGTCTCATAACAATGAAAATGCTTTCAAATGAGCTGATGTAGGTAACAGCTCTTAGCTTGCCAATAAAACTGACTCGGGAAATCGTAATGACACGATTGCAAACAAACCATACCCCGGCCGGGATTGAACCCGCGGTCAGAGAGTCTCAAAACTCCAGCCCGTTGTGTTAGCCACTAGACCAGCTAGCCACAATAAGATTCGTCCAACTAGGTACAGTGGACCCCCGCATAGCGAACTTAATCCGTGCAAGAGGGCTGGTCGTTATGCGAAATGTTCGCTATGCGAATTAATTTTCCCCATAAGAAATAATGGAAATAAAATTAATCCGTGCAAGACACCCAAAAGTATGAAAAAAAAATTTTTTTACCACAAAAAAATGTTAATTTTAGTACACACAAACTGAAAAAGGCATGCACAATTACATGACACTTACTTTTATTGAAGATCTGGTGATGATTGATGGGATGGGAGGAGGGGAGAGAGAGTGTTAGTGTTTAGAAGGGGAATCCCCTTCCA